AATTTTAAGTTTGAGATTTTGTGAAGTGATTTTTACACTATTTAAGAATAATTCATAACAACATCATATATAATACTCTCTTCGTCCCACTAAGATAGATTGTCTATTTTCTTTTCGAATCGTTCTACTAAGATTGTCTTATACTAACTCCGTCCCATTTAAAGGTTCTCATGGCAAAATGACACAATTATTTAGACAATAATTAATTATGCTAATTCAAGTATATTTTGAGAAATAATTTTGATAAGTATATAATATAAAGTGTCATTGATGATAACTATAATTTTATAAAAGTATTGTTTTTAGTACTTGATGATTAAATTATCATTTAAAAGTGCTAATTGTTTCCTAAAATAGAAAGTGAGAACCTTTAAGTGAGACGTCCAAAAGAGGAAAGCGAGAACCTTTAAATGGGACGGATGAAGTACCAAATATGGTAAAATTGTGTGGGTCTAAATCATTTTTAGTTTGTCAATTTAGTATCAACCGCATAAACTCATTTTTTTTAATAATTGCACCACAATCTCATTTTCTAATGTTAGAGGGAGAAAAGTAGTAATTATTTAGAAAAAGAACATTATTTTAATATTGGGCAAAAATTGTCGCGCCTTGCGCGACCAAATGCTAGTTATTAATTATAATTACTACTATTATTAAACATCATCAATGGTTAACGTTTTTCACATTATGATTTCTTAATATGTATACATATGCTCACATATACATGTTGTTGGTGATGGAACTTTTTGAGAGGATTACATGTATATATACGTAGTACATACATGCTCTATGGGGGCTCCTACAAGGAAGAGTTGGCTTCATGCAATTGGAAAAAACATACTCCGTATTATATACTCTCTATATAACAATTATATAAGTGATACTACGTATTCAATAAAATAATTTTATTGCTGGGTTTATAAACTGTTTTCTTCTTGTTAGTTCTGGTACCGGTTTTATAACCGAAGGACTCGTTATATCTTGGGAGAAATTTCCGTACAGCGGAAATAATTCCTTAGGACAACGTCTGACGCGTCTCGAGCTATTAACATGTTTTTAGTTCTTTTTAGTTCTTTTTAGTGATTATTTTGCAGGTCTATTTTCGGAGCAAGATTCTCAACGAGGTCAACTTAGGAGCAACGCGGTCAACACGTTGATTTTGGAAGGATAGAGCCAACATTATTTATGTAAAATACTGAAATTTTAATTGTAAGATAGTGTATTGAGTACAAATAGTACTTATCTACTTTTAATTACACTAAAATTTTGATATGTGGTTTATTTATGTTTCAAAAAATCTCTTTATACACATCAAGTTATGTATTAGCTTGTACACGTTTATTTTTATCTTTACACATACAACTTTTTTGTAAAGTGATTTGTCTGTGACACAGATAAAAGCGGGCTTGTACAACTTGGCATGTAAACAAAACATTTTTGTTATGTTTAGTAGGTGTCTACTTGAATTATTCTGGTCTCAACTAGTCTAATGTAGTAGGGGTCTGTTTTGTACAGGGTATGTAAATATAAAATATACAAAAAGGGCCTAATAAGTATGTGAAAGTATAAAGTGAAATTACCTTAGCTGCGTTTTAAATACCAGTAAAATTCACATGTTGGAATTAGCTAGAGTAGTTAAATTTGTTTCTCTAATATTATCAATTGCCTATTTGTGTCTCACGAGTTTGAAATATAGTTACCTAATAATAGTCCAATAACTTCAAATTATTATTAAATAAAGTACATTTATTAATTTGTAGTACGTTATTCACTAATAATGTAAATTTATGCATAAATCAAAAGGCAATCACTTTACATACAACTAAAATGCATTCTTTTGTGAGGTTTGTAATTTTTTTAATTTACAAACAAATTCATTGAAGAGCTTTATTAAAAAAACATACAAACATATTTTAATACCTCATGTACATGGTATAATCTATAATGTTTTAAAAAGTGTAATACAAATTATATTAAATAATCAAATCAAACGGCATACACCTTTTACATCTTTATATTTCACATGCAAAATAATTATTTCACATTGTACCACACACTCCCAGAGTGTTAGGCTAAGTTAATTAAAATGTAAGGTAAAACAAAACAAAAATAAAAAAATAAGAGTCACACTACTAGTGGTTGATTATTCATTAGTATACATTTTAGGGTACTATGGACCAGTCGAGTAACAATGAAATTGGTTGAATCGATAGAATGTGTTGAAATTTATGAAGTTCTGGCTGAATATGTAAAAGTTGAATTGAAAATATATTTTATTAATAAAACGAAGAAAAATGCATGAAAATAAGCTATAATGATCATCTACAAGTTTATTGTAATTTCATTCAATTCCATTAGAAAAGTAGTTTCACTCTTGTTCTTTTGATTATTACACAATTGGTATGCGAACTAAAAATTTGCGAGTTTCACAAAAATATTGATAAAATCAATAAGCTCAAAAAAGGGTTCTAAAAATTCAAAGCAAATAAACATTAGGAAATTCAAACTTAAAATACATAATAAAAAAACCTGAAAAATAAGCTAAAATGGCATCTACGAGTCTATAGTAACTTCATTCAATTTGGTTAGAAAAGTTACTTTAGTCTTACCTATTTTGAACATTACATAATTAAGCGCGCCAAGTAAAAAATTGCATTGTGGCAAAAGTATTAATAAAATCAATAAAAATGCAAAGTAAATCAACATTAGAACGGATCGTATTCTCACCATAGTATACATGCAATGTTATTAGTCACACACTCACACTCCACAAGTTTGCAAAGCAGGGAAAGGTTTGCAGTACTACCTCAACAAGAAGTTTGCAGTACTCAGATCACCCCTTTTGGGTTTGTGGCACCCACCTCTCTTGAGGTTTACGGTATATTCCTTTCTTCGTCCCAAGCTGGGACTCCCAACGGTAAAAGAGCACCCCAAAATGTCCCCCAAATCAGGCCATTATATTCAAGTTCGTAAAACATATCTAGGGACATTAAACAAATCTAGGTGCATTTTAACATACAAAAATCATACTTTCATGTTGAAAAGGGTAATCATATACAATACCCAAAAATTAAAGATCATAGAACTGCCATCTCACTGGCGTGAATCTCATACCCCTCTACTTGTGGTTCCTCCTCCCGAAGCTTGAGATTCGATTCAATGATCTTTTCTGACGTCGTACTATTGAAATGATGAAAAGGAGAAGAAGTTGTCGTAGAAGAAGGTTGCTCTATATTTTTAACTGTTGTTGCGCGTTCCAAAAATGTGTTTGCACCGGTTTGCTTTTTAGGCTCGTTAGCCTTTAATAGGTCTATTTTACAAGTTTTGGTCCCCTTGTATCATTTATTAGTCCAAACTTCCGATTCTATGTACTTTAGCTTTAAAGGCACTTACTTGGTCCTTAAACATTTCATATCAACTTAAAATATCATGTAGACCCAAATAAATATAACATGTAGCACTAGGACACCCCGGGCGACTCCCGTGCCATGATGTGGGTCCCATGCCTAAATTTAATACTTATTAAATTTAAACAGGCATAATAAATTGTCCAAATTTATGCCTAGCACACTAATTTTTATTATACTTAATTGGAAAAAATTTAATGTTCGGGAAACTTGGTCACAAGTCTAGTTTGATATGATCTAGTACGTTCAAATCTACTCTGATTTGTTCTAGTTTTATATTGAATCGATCCAATAAAAAAACATTCTAAATAATATAGACATGTGGTATAGTTATCATAAGTTCCTACAAGAAAGTTGTACATTTTCTATAGACATTTTGTTAACTCTTTCACTCATAATTATTATTCATAACATTAGATCACAAACAAACAAAAAATATTTATTCAAACAAATATAGTACTACAGCCAATGGACGCTTGGTACACACAATAAAACTATAAAAATAGATCACTTCTTGTATACCACATGCAGGGCCGGCCCTAAGAATTCTAGGACCCTGTGCAAAGAAACAATTGGGCCTTTTTTCCTGATGCAAAGAGAAATCAAATGTATTTACCTAATGACTTAATATCAATTTATTCAACGCAAATGCAAAATTCTTGAGTGTTTACTTTCACACTTTGTTGTCTCGCTGTTGAAATGCTCTGACATTTCAAAGAGCGTACTCAATGGCGTATATAAAAAAAATCATGAGGAGTGATAAGTTCGTATTACAACACGCATTTGATGCGTGTTGGGATCGACTTTTGATGATTTTCCTAGCTTTAAGGTGTTATAAGTCTCAATTTTAGCTCAAGTCGTGTTTGTCGGGCGTTGGTTCGAGTTTTGTGTTGTTTTGAGTCAAAATCAAGGAATTTGAGTTCGGCACTGACAGTTGAGAAGAAATCGGGACGATTTGAGAAGCATTCGAGAGTGATTTGATAGATTTGGAAGTCACCGGGAGGTTCACAGTGAAGATTTGATGACAAAAGAGCTCTAGGATTGGTTATGAAATCAAAAGAAGATTAATAAAGCTTGAAAACGACGATCAGGATGACCTTCTGTCAATCGTTCAAGCATATCTCTTTGTATAAACAACAAATGGACACGATTCAAGTTCCATATGAAAGCCAACTTCAAAGGATAAAAATCATATGAAGACACCATTGCGAGAATCTGAGAGGAAGAAGGTGAAAACAGACGATGAAGTCAGATGATCCCTGTTGCAATTTCAGAATGCGACCTTCCACCGTTTTGATCATATCTCTTGATTGGATGATTCAAATCCAATTCTGAAGTTGAAATGAATAAAGGACTTCATTATCTACTACTTTCATGAAAGAAGTTTTGTCAAATTTGGAAGTTTGACGCACACCGTGCGTATGGGAACGCACGATCGTGCGTCCGAAGCGAGAAAGCAAGGAGGCTACTGCCAGCCACGCACATCGTGCATGGCCAGGGACAGAAAAGTGTACAAATTTTGTGTACAAAAAGTGTGTACCCCTAGCTCCACTCTTCCTATTTAGTTAATTTACTTGCAAAAATATGGGCCTGGGCACAGCCATGGTCAAGACCCATACTCAAAACTAAAAACACATTTTATTGAGTAAGTGGGTCAGTGAGTCAGTCAGTCCACAGTCTGACGGAACCCGCCATTTCATCCGTTCGCCACCCACTCAACCCCCAACACGCGGCCGGTAACAACCCCACATTCTCACGGCCAACTTGGGGGTTCACGGCCGGTGGATGACCAATAGCAGTTGCTGAACATCTGACATGGCCGATGAAGAAACCCATCCCCAAACCGAACCACAACACGAGCACATTGACGACGCCATTGCCGACTCTGCCGCCATTTCTTCCTCAGCTTCAGCAACCACCACTTCCGATGCTCCGCCGCAGCAGAAAGCGTCGCCGGCTGCCAAACTCCCATCCAGACCCCGCAAGATCCGGAAGCTCTCCCCTGTACCCTCCGCCACTCTACTCCCAAGAGTCATCACTCGTCCCCTCTCATGCTCCGGCGAGCTCGAGACCGCCATTCACCACCTCCGATCAGTCGACCAGAGGCTTGCCCCACTCATCGACTTCCACCCACCTCCAACCCTAGAGCCCTTCCTTCCTCCATTCCTAGCCCTAACAAAAAACATCATCTTCCAGCAACTCGCCCTCAAAGCGGGAACTTCAATCTACACTAGTTTCGTCTCTCTCTGCGGCGGAGAGTCGAACGTCCTCTCTGACGTTGTTCTAAACCTATCTCCGCAACAGCTCCGGCAAATAGGAATCTCCGCTCGAAAGGCGAGCTATCTACACGACCTAGCGAGGAAATACCAGAATGGGATCTTATCTGATAAATCCATCATAGAAATGGACGATAAATCTTTGTTCACAATGCTTACAATGGTCAATGGAATCGGATCATGGTCAGTTCACATGTTCATGATCTTTTCACTGCACAGGCCGGATGTTTTGCCAATACACGATCTGGGGATAAGGAAAGGGGTTCAAATGCTAAACCTGCTCGACGAATTGCCTAGGCCATCTCAGATGGATCGGTTCTGTGAGAAGTGGAGGCCGTATAGGTCAGTGGCGGCATGGTACATTTGGAGGTATGTGGAGACAAAGAATGTAAATTCAAATGCCAATCTGGTAGGGGTAACGAGTCTGGATACGGGTTTGCAGCATCAGCAGCAGCAAGAACAACAACATCAGCATCAGTTGTTCATGGAGGACCCAATTAGTGGGATGATGAATCTGGGTTATCATTTTCCAGTCTCTTCTAGTTTTGAATGAAACCTTACTGTCACACCAATTTTCATCAGCAATTTTTCGGAATCGTTTTCTTGTGGCCTTCGCGTATTAGTGTTCCTACTAATTGAAGGTTAGTGACTGTAATAAGTCAACCTGTTTTATCGATATTTATTTGAACTAATGAAATGTTATAATCCACCCATTGTCTATGCTAAAAGTTTGCACTTTGATTATGGAATGAATATACTCCGTATATTGATATATGTTTAGGCGAGAAATAAAACTCCTAGGTATATGCTCAACTGCATCATAGTTTTCCTATAGAATATATTCAATCTCGTTAAAGCCCTTGACAATTGTAAAATATATGTATGTGTGTGAAGCAAACCATGATGACTGGTAACATTAATCTAACCAGTTCATTAAGAAAAAAGTGAAAAATGGATAGTTATTTTTATGTTTGTTTTTACATTGGGAAATGCAAAGAAAATTAAATATGATTAACACATTTAAAATTTGGCATACACAAGTATTTAAAGGAACCCGAACCAGTTCTGATCGGAACCGCAAAAACGGATGCTGGTTGGGTTCTGGAACCATAACTAGGTTCAGCCCATAGGCCAAAACATTGTCAAAGGAATCTTGTAGTAATAAACGCTGTTATAGATAATGGCAAGCCAGCTATTAGGTCGGAATTCACTGTTTATGTAGTGTTGACTGTTATGTTTACCAATACTTTGGTGTTTTTATGATAACGCTGTAGTGTTTTAATTACAGATTCACAGGGAATTTGCTCTGGGACGGTGACTGAGATCCAAATGCGCCCCAAAGTTGTTCTGTGGGGGGATCATAATTATGATGTAAGTAAATCTCCACCACCTCACCTGATGAACATGGAGAGTTAAAGGTTGAAGACAATTTAACTTCTGTTTTAGCTTGATAGATTGTACTCTCAACTCTCTGGTAGGGTTATTTTTCCTGCTAAAACCAATACAACTGTATCTATGCGTGGTTAAACATTAAGACTCATTTGGTAACGCGTAAGGGTTATTTTGTAGAGCAACTAGTTTCTGCATTTACACAGCTCATTATTCACCCTGATGTAACAATATTCAGAGACATATCTGTGATCAAATCCTATGTTTTGATTTTGTTGGGTTACAAAGATCATGAATCCTCCAAATTTTAATCTTATGCTCATTTGGTAAGGGTTATTTTATAGAGCAACTAGTTTCTGCATTTACACAGCTCATATTCACCCCCTGATGTAACAATATCCAGAGACAGAGCTATCTGTGATCAAATCCCATGTTTTGATTTTGTTGGGTTACAAAGGTCATGAATCCTCCAAATTTTAATCTTATGCACACCAAATGTTGGATTATCAAAACTTCAGTAACATTTAAGGAAAACAACTGCATGCTAGTATAGTAGTATGTTACAATTAAAACAATAAACAGATTAAAGATAACAATAGCTGTATTACAAGTGATAAAATACTATGTTTAAAAAACCGACCCAACCCGGCCGGGTTGACCCGGAACCCGGTGACCCGGACAAAAATCCGGTTCGGTTTCTTCAAAACCCGAAAATGGTCAAAAACCGGAAAACCCCGGCTGACCCGAAAAAATCTGATCCAGACCCGATCCAAGAAACCCGAAAAACCCGGGAAAACCCGGTTTTTGGTCTTTTCCAAAAAAAAAAGTAATTTCTTTTTTAATTTTAATGCATTTTTTAAACCAATAAAATTGCAATTTCAATTCCCTAAAAAGAAAAACTATGTAATATACTTATATATTTATTTAAGAATGAAAATCATGCCAAGTTATAATATAAATGTACAATACAAATAAAAATATATAATGAGAGTGTATATAATTATATGTTTATTATTATTATTATATAGAACGTATAATCGTTGACCGGTTTTCCGGCTTTGACCGGGTTGACCCTCCGGGTCCGGGTTGACCCGTGACCCAGTCACATGACCGGGTCGCTCACCGGTCCGGTTTTTACAACATAGATAAAACAGTGATATTAAGTTCTGCAAACTTTTTCTTTACACATCTTGCTATTTGGAACCTCAGCTCAGATCTTATGTAGTAATAACACATGACACATGTCGACTTTAATGAAGCTTCAAATTCCTCATAAGCCTGCAGGTAATATAAAGGAAATAAATTATTTCACCCTTTTCTTTTTCTAATAAATAAATGGGGTTATTTTTATTGTAGAACACTACTCTTTCAATTTGCAGACTTGGCCCACCAGATTATAGATTGGCTTATCTTATCTTCTTCATAGAAAATGCAGACAAAATATTCACAAGTTATCTACTTTACTTGATGCCCAAAACTTCCCCAAGACGTGATCAACATGTAAACTACATGTTTTATTTAAAAATTATCGTTCGAAAAGTATTACAATTAACTTTTAAAGTGCTAGTACAATTTCTTTCCACAATGAAACTTTTTCATAGCGGACCTCTTTGCTTGAAAAGGGGTCAAAGTTCAAAGTCTAGCTACTTCTTAGCTTCAAAAGCGTGATGGCTCTTTTAGTTAATTAGTGATGATTCTTTTAGTTAATTAATACAGAAATTGTGACAAATGCATGACCAAAATAAAAATAATAGAAAAATATACTTCGTATCACTTTATAGGATAGTGAGATTTTTGTAGTGATGGTGGTGATTATGGTTTTTAATTTTGCACTTCACTGACCAAGGGTCCAAGACAGTATTTTTGGAGTGCCTACAACGACTATATAATAATATTTTTTCCCTTTAATTCTATTATAGATTTATTGTGACATTTTAGAAAAAAATCTCTTAAATATACATACTCCAAAACCAAGATCGTAGAAAAGGGTTTGCATGATTCTGTTATGCCAAAAGGTGAAAGCCATGAGATGCTACTGTAGGTAGGAATCTAAATTTCCATATGCATCAAGAAAGCACAATAGTCTTTCTTTTATTTGAAAAAAAAAGTCACCGACCGCCATGACCTTGCTAGAAGACTAGGAATATTATATTTATTATATTAATTCCACATTTCTATAATTTATCCAATAGATATAAATTAAATAAATAAAAAACGGTCCAGAGTCTTGGATTAGTTGAAGGGATTATCCATGGAATGTAAGGAGGCATATAATATTTCTGGAATCATGTCAGAAGCAGGAATAATAATACTACGTACTATTAGGACACTTTATTATCATCACTTTATTTTCAAACATGTAAATTTAGAAATAATTCCGAACCAAACAAGCCCTTGAACATGAACATTAACTCTGTAGTTTCATGGAGGGTGCTGATATTAGCATTGTTAGTCTACTTAGGAAGTTTAATTTGGGAGATTAATCAGATTACTATCTATACATTATACATACCTTTGTTCATTACCAAATCCTCTGGCATTACTGCTAAGAGTACTAGCACTGTAATTTGGCAAAGGCACTTCATCATTCTCTATCTGCATTATATCTTTAACAAGAATTTCATAATGCCTCTTCACTTCTTCAGCCGATTTACCTCCCACAATCCGGGCGATATTATGCCAGCGGTCGGGCGTGTCACGGTCATATATAGCTAAAGCCTCTTCAAACTTTTTGTTTTGTCTTTCTGTCCAGGAGGCCATTACTGACAAGAGTTAGGATTTGTATGAAGTATTTAATGAGGTGATTAAGCAAAGGCAAAGTGTTGAAATGGGAAAAGGGCCTTAGTGATAGGATAAAAGAGAGAGGACAGAATATGAGAGGGGTGAATGGGGGATGGTATGGGAAAGAAGAGAGTTCAATCTTAGTTCCTTATATACTGTATGATGCTAAGGAAGGAGTTGTGGGAAAGGGACATGTTCCAATTATATGTTAGTATCTACTCTTTTTACTCACTTTATGAAATATAGTTTCTTTTTTAGTATGGCCTAAAATTATGTTATCTTTTACTCAAAGTTTATACATTTTTATCTCAAAAATTGGTATCTTTCATTTTTTATTGTTAATGTCAATCTTTATTTTGCTAGATTGATCATACACGAAGCGGGCTATGTGTATACAATGTTGCTTATGAACATACTTCTATACAAAATGAGTCATTTTTACAATGAGTTTAACTAGTGATTGTTCCATTACTTTCCCTTCGGTTAGTTCACATGTTTCCTTTGGTCAATTGGTAGATAGAAAGTGTAGAGCCTATACTAGTACTTACTACCTCCTTAACATTTAAAAGTGGATGAACTTATGAATAGTGAGAGGATATAAATTATCGAGAGTACGATGTGAAACAAATGAAATAGTGTGCTGGAATGACCGAATGAAAAATAAATCCAAAAAACTACTCCGAAATTATAATAGTGTATTATTTTCAATATTATTGAGAGTATGATGAGAATATTTAGGGGAAAATATAAATGTTAGGTTGAAATAGAGAAATGGGAAAATATGGATTTTAATGTAGTACTACATACGAGTCTATTATTAGTAGCAATTTTTTACTAGTAGTAAAAGGTTGAGGTGGGGCAGAATGACCTAAACGGCTAAAAGTATCAAAACTCAAAAGGACAAGCTTTTCATGATTAATTCTTTGAAGTAGTTTCCTTGTCTTTTACAATATTACCAACAAGTGGATCAATTGGAGAATTTTTTCCCCAGCTGGTAAGGATTAGATCTACATTCCAATTCTACCAGCTAATGTAGATGCATGAGTGACTGGTCTAAAAAGAAATGCATATAGATATTATGCTATCTTTTGATACGATAGATTTGTTTTATTGGCTTTAAGCCTATTACATTCCTTTTCAAAATTCAGTTTTAATATCAGTTTTTAAAAATGAAGTTTTCGTATTGATTTCATCTTCTCTCATTTCAATTTTGGGTCATTATTATATTAGTTGTTTATGAGATGTTAGGATTTACTTCTTAAAGCTACTTAGTACTTATGTTCAATAGCAGAGTGTTTAAATGAACGTATGAAAGTAGTATGAAAGTACTACTACATACTACACTAGGGGCGGCCCGACCCGGAACCGACCCGGCCCGGCCCGTTTACTGTTTGGCCCGGCCTGGCCCGGGGCCCGGTGGGTCCATCGGTTCGGTTTGGCCCGGCCCGGGTGATGGGCGGTCCGGGCTCGGTCCCTGCTTTAGGTGAACCGGCCCGGCCAGTTCAAGCCTGGTCCGGGCCGGATTTTAATTTTTTTTTGAAATTTTTTTAAGTTTTGGGTTAGATTAGGTATTTTGGGCCATTTGAGGTGGTTTGGGGTGGTTTGGGGTTGAGGGGGAGGGGTAGGGGGTTAAATAGGAGAACCAAAATCAAAAAAAAAATGGACCGGTTTGGCCCGGCCCAGCCCTGCCAGGTTTGGCCCGGAACCGGCCACCGGCGGTTCGGGCTCGGGCCCCAGTTTTCTGGCCCGAGGCCGGCCGGGCCCGAACCGGCCCGGTCCACCCCTGTACTACACATTGTACCAAAAAGTAGTTTTTGGTCTAATAATATCATTGTTGCTCTCTTAAAGTAGAGGTCATTCGAGTCCATCTAAGGGTTGGTTTGCAACATCATAAAAAAAGCATTTCTCGGCTTTTTGGCTTAAAAAGACACTTATTTACCAAACACTACCACTTTTTACTTTTATCGGCTTTCGTGTGAAAAGTGTTTTTCCCTTTTCTATTACACAAAAAGTATTTATTTTACCAAACACTACCAACGTTTACTTTTCAAAATCACTTTTTTCTCAAACACTATCAACTTTTACTACTAATCACTTTTTGCAAGTCACTCCAAAAATGTTTTTTTTAAGCAGAAGCTGTTTCAAACACTCCCTAAATCCCTATCAAGGATAGTATAGTTGTCATTATCTCGGGCATATACTATTATACGTTAGAAGACTATCACATAAATAAATAAAAAATTGCAAAAAAAATAATGTTGTATATTTATGAATAATTAAATTAAGATAAAAGTTATATGAGCATGTTTTGCACAACCAATTGGAAACAATATTTTATGAGTTTTTTTTGTATTTGTTAGATTTAGTGATTGAAAAGATATTTAAAAATGTTACAATTGTTTGATAAGAAAAACTTACTATGTGATCTGTTTGATATAATAAATTGGTGTAATAAATAATGCTAAAAGTTACAAATTTTTTCCTAGAAGCCACTTAGTGTAATTTCTTAAAAAATGTATTTTTAACAAAATTCTTAAAAACGGT